ATGGTATTACTGCAAACCCCATAATACATTAATAAACCATATGCCCAATGAAAATCACAAACAAAATGCAATAGTACTGCCAGTCTGAATATTATTTTTCAATTGACTGTGCTTTTATACTACAATTATTAACTTCACCAAACTTAACCATAAACGGCGCGACTGTATTTCTAAGGATGCAATAAATATTATTATTATTATTTATTTATTAACACATAATCACTCCTCGGAGGGAATGGTTACAAATAATAGTAAAAAATATACAGTATTAATACACTAAAAAGGAAGGAATAAAAATAAACTAGAGTTTAGTATAGTACTCCATAACTGGACAGTACAGGCATTTCGCATTGAATTTAGTACCCAAACATACATACATCTACTGTATGCATGACCTGAAAAAGTACCATATGCGAGTACCAAGATGCGAATAGCACTTCCCGTGATCACGGTTCTATGCAAACTATTGAATAAACTGTTTAATAAATAATAAAAAAGCCTTCCTAACATACACCATTTTCGTACCATGCCCTGTTACCATAGTAAATATTTTATTTTACGTCAGTAAAAATATGTGGTACCGGTAACCCCTTTAAAAAGGAATTCCCTCGTCACGCGTCGCCGACTACGTAAAAACAATGGGAGGCTTCAAAAGTAGTCACACCTCGCAGAGGTGTTAAATTTGCCACAATGGACATGAAAACTACAATGGTTGTTACTGATATAGTTCGGTAACAGAGTTAATTAGCACACATTTCCGAGATAAATCATAAACACGAATTCATAGAATATGTGGAGAAATAAAGTACATGTTGTGTGACAAGTTCTTCTATGCCTGTCGTAGACAAGAAGTTCGTTTAACCGCAACCCGGATTGAAAAAAAAAAAAATGTCTGGCGTTGCTGAGAGGCTGTGTTTAGGCTCAGACAACTGATTAGTTGTCTGAGGTTTAGGATTAAATAGAAGTATGAGCCCGAGCACTTCAACCTAACCATTTCAACTTGTATAAATAAAATTAGAGATGGACACAAAATATAAACCAGTAGTAATATGTTTCGTTAAAATGAGAATGGTCATATCAGCGTTGAAATAATCACAGAAGTGTAGTTATCATCGGTAAAAACATGTTAACTCGCTAAACAGGAACTCATGCATAAGCGACCCAACAAACGTAATCTCGTTCGTTGCTCAGTGGCGCCAACTTTTTTGGGCACTACATCATAATACAGTCTTGTATGTCGTCAAACTATTCTCTAAATGAGGTATTTATGTTGTTGTCACGTTTTCTTTTCTCTTTTTTAGCGTCTTAATTTTCTCGTACGCTAACAAATCTGTCAACAATTTTTCCGTTCCTAAATCCATGGTGACAAGAGTAGAATACAATTTCGGATGTCAGAAGGTTGTCCAATCAGACTGCGCGAATTTCAGTTTCTAAAGCTGGTCTCAGACACGGTCTCATTTTCGGTCTGCGTGGCATCTGCGAGTCTCTAAAGCTGGTCTCAAACGAGGTCTCATTCCCTGTCTATGTGGCATCCGAGTGTCTCTAAATCGGTCTCAAACACAGGTCTCAAATGGCATCTTTCTCTGTGGGAGAGTCTCAAAACTGGTCTTAAGTGCCCTCTAGAAGGTACCGTACATACCTCAGATTTATTCTTCATGTCATTTGTTTTTATTAAAGTTGTATGACTCCCTAGCTTACTTACCTTTTCTATATTTCAGTCTTTAATAATAGTTACTTCAGCATCTTTTGTAGGACTCCCTAGGTTACTTACCCTTTCTATCTCTGTCTTTAAAGTAGTTACTGATAGATACTTCAGTATCTCTTGTAGGACTCCCTAGGTTACTTAATTTTTTCTATTTTAGTTGTTAATAATAGATACTTCAGTATCTCTTGTAAGACTCCCTAGGTTACTTACCCTTTCTTTCTCTGTCTTTAAAATAGTTACTGATAGATACTTCAGTATCTCTTGTAGGACTCCCTAGGTTACTTACCCTTTCTCTATCTCTGTCTTTATAATAGTTACTGATAGATACTTCAACATCTCTTGTAGGACTCCCTAGGTTTGTATTATAAATATTATACTGTGATGTTTGGGATGCCATTCCTTTTATTGGTAAGGTACGGAATGTACCTAAGACAGACAGTGACCTGCAAAAAATAACGAGCTTTCTTGTTTGCATGGGAATAGTAATGGTATTGTTTTTAGTTAATTTAAGAATAAAATATATTCCTGCTAACTTTTTTAATCCCCCAACAGTCAGTAAATATTACAAATTAATGGCTACCAAAAATACAGATCTTCTTCAAAGACTGGGAGCCTTTACTTTTCACGCAATGAAATTGGGAAAAGAGCTACAAGTATTGTCAATTGTTTAAAAATTGTAATTTTATTTTTAAATATAAATAATGTATGTAAATATAATGGGCCGATGGCCTATTATAAATAAATATGTATTGTTTCAACATGATTGACATGTATTTACTAATAATAAGTGTACTGGGGTTAAATTTGTCAACTCTGAGTTTGTCTATAATGTTTATATGATAATCATACCACTCTCGGTAGAGTAAAGACTAGGTCTGTTAAACTACATTTTGATTTATTGAGCACAAAGAACGCCTATATTCAGACGACCATCATCTTAATTACCATTGTGACATTGCCATTTCCAGCCTACCTCACCATAGGGTGGGTGGGACCTATAACCTGCAGCCTATTACTGTAGTAACTCACCTTGGTGTGTTTTCAGGATTGCTACTTTTCTTAACAACAGGTCTCATAAAAACTACCAGCTTGCCTGCAATGAGAAAACAACACCCAATGAAGACAGCCACTATATGCTAGTACACAGTGATATTATTTCATTTTTGACAAACACCAAGAAATGTTGTGCATGAACTATCACCACTGTCTATAGGTTATACAATATATATTCAATAACATCAGCAGCCAACAATGCCACCTTTCCGATTGGATGCAAAAATCTGGTTCTTGTTTGCACACTCACAGCAAGTGCAAAAAAATGCATCTTCTTATCTACGTACTAAATAGTGTACGGCTATAATGGTGAAGTATGAGCAAATAATACACCTGGAATGAACACAGGAAACAAGCAAGACTTGCATAACCCAACTCTACAGCAACTAGATGACTACAGAGTTATGATTGTAGGACCAGCATCAACTACAAAGACCTAACAAAACAAAACAGGGATCCATGTTGATTCAGTATGTGGTTTCGAAAATACACATAAAATTATTAAATAACACTCACAGATGATCAAAATGTTTGGAGTTGAAATGACGTCACAGTGCACCCTAGGAGAGATGCTATAATTAGGATATTTCTACAAAGCCTGCACTTACCAACACTACAAAATCTGGCGCCTGAAGTTCTCGGGAAGGGGATGTTATGATCTCTGTAGCTACCATAGGAAATGATTGGCATGACAGGCTGCTTCACTACAGACACATTCTGTAAGTTATATGGCGTTTGTGAACTGTCTTGAACCTTGTCATCAACCTAGCGAACAATAACAAATATGGACGTTAATATAGAGGATCACATGTTATCAGGAATACCAATATAGTAGCTGCGACTTTTGTCCAACAAAGATATTAAAATGCTTAGTGAAAAAAGTAAGTACCATAAGTAGTGCACGTCTTATCTGTGTGTACTACCAATTCCTTTGTAAGTATTATAAAGAGTAATTCGAAATAAGATTCGTAATGGATTTCATACTATATTCTATTTCATATGTTATTAATAAATGCACTCTTTATCCGCAAAGTTTTATCGTTTTAGACTCAAATAATCTGCTGAAACTGAAAGAAATTTGCTGAAGGTGAAACATAATGTAGCCACTGAACAAAAATCTCTTGTACGTCATCAAAAATAGCACAGTCGAACACGTTCAAGATGGTGGACTATGAACTCAAGATTGAGGTCTTTCAATGGCAATGATTAACACTTGAATCGCACCAAGAAATGGTTTGGGTTTGTAAAATACCAATCACAATCACACTTGTTTAGATTTCTGTCTATTGGGTCATTTTCTATCATACCATCTCTTGGTACCACACTGTGACAGTAAATTGTGTATGTTTGATTGGACGTTCAAACTATAGTCAGTATACCATGCGTAATTAAACAAGAATGAAAGAATAAATATTGGCACAGACAACTCTGAACCTGGGCCTTGCTTCTTTCTTATCAACATCTCCATATATTCCCAACTAAAACTCAGTTTTATTTTTAGGTTAATAGATTTTATTTATGGGTTAAAACAAAAGAATCATATTTTGCGTGACATCTACATGCCCTCAGAACGTACACGTAGATCAACATGCAGACATCAATTGTTTACTAACCGTTAGCGTCTCTAGACCAGTGACTAGCTTGCGTATACACGGTTCTAGACATGTACGATTCCTCTTCACGTGCTGGTGAGATGTTTCCTGTAGTATCTAAAAATAAATCATATTCATTCAAAAATTGGTGACTTGATTTGTTACTGTGGTTAAAGTATTGACATTCACAGAGAAATACTAATACATAAAATACATTGAGAATTTAGATAAGTGGACAAGTCATCTTTTATCGCAATGAATGCCTGTTGTCATGGCTGCCAACTGCACCATCTTCCTCCTACTCCTCATTCTGCTACTATAGTTTTGTTATGATCTAGAATGAGGGAAACATTCCGGGCTATGGAGAATGTGTGAATGAAGCTCCTACTCCTCATTCTGCTACTATAGTTTTGTTATGATATAGAATGAGGGAAACATTCCGGGCTATGGAGAATGTGTGAATAAAGCTCCTACTCCTCATTCTGCTACTATAGTTTTGTTATGATCTAGAATGAGGGAAACATTCTGGACTGAAGAGAATGTGTGAATGAAGTTGTGGTAACTTTTCACAAATTTTCATAATGATGAAGTTGAAATTGATATATTATATACATGTATATTAACATGATTCTGTAATTGTTCACTATAAAGTGAATTTTGTGAAGACCAAAATCTAACAAAATATTTGTAAAACACAATACCCTGGCTAAAGAAGGCACCTGGTAATGCAAATTAACCACAAGTAGAATATGAATATTAATGATCTCATGAATATTAATTAGCGAACAGCACTCAAATCTGGCTGGGCAGAACCCTGCACCTGGTAATGCACATTAACCACAAGTAGATTTCCTCCAATCATTGGTGATTGACTGACACATCTGTGATTGGTTGAGTCGTTTTCAATTGTCATTTATAAATACATTTTAAAAAACACTCATGCCTACATGAAATTCACTGTATATACCGATAAAACAAACCCTGCCAAAACCAAAACAAGCAGCCTATCGGCTGAGATAGCTCCGCTGTTAGCAATGCACATTTCAATTAAAGAACTGAAGACATCATTAGAAAATGAACAATATGAATAGTATCAAAGCAATCGGACTTACAGTTTTTAACAAGAGGTCGAAAATATCACTTTTTACCAAAAATTACAAAAATATTCACCAAAATAAATTAATTAAAGAATTGAAGACATCATCACAAAACGAACAAATCTGAGAGAGGTCCACATGTAGTACCTATATAT